GTCTTCCGGGGTGGGGTTCAAAAGACTCCGTAATCGCATGGTTGGAGACACTGAAGGTCATGGATGCGAACCGACAGCAACGGCGATCATGCTGTCACTTCTTATCAGACCAGAATGCTTGAACTAGTATGTATACACAGTTGGATTGTTTTTAGTTTCAGTCTTTACAAGCATTAACCATGCATTTTTGTGCGCCGGTTTTGGTTGCTGTCTTTTGGCGACCATTTGGATAGAAGAGCAGAATGTAGATTTGAATGTTAAAAGCAAATTCAAGCGGAAGATGGAGAATTCATATAGAATGGTGTTAGGGGAATCATGAGTGGATGCATGAGCGCCACTGTTTGCGACATCCAACCATATCACTCGGTGTATCTTAGATAACCATCGGGGCCATCATCCCGAGGTCCTCAGCCAGGAAATCTAACGGGACCTATGTGACCTCCTGGTTAGGATTTTCATACCCTCATGCCAGTTATTCGTTGGATCACCCTTGACCCTTTTCCAACCACCACCTGCCTCGGCAAACATCGCTCGCCGTGGCAATCTATCTGGTGACATGCGTAAAACATGCCCCAACCAACGTAACCTATGGAAGTCGATCACCTGCTCCAGTGGACGACCGCAACTGCCTAAAACTCTACGCCTAAACTCAGCACTGCTCGTTCGGTTACCCCACCAGACTCGTGCAATGCGACTTAGAGAACGGTGTTCGAACACCGATAATCTATTTTTATCCTGTTCCCATTGTGACCAAGTCTCTGCACCGTAGAGCAGTCTTGGCCGAACTGCTGCAGCATATACTCGACCCTTCACAGACAGCCGGATGTGGCGACGGCGCCACGAAGGTCTCAAGTTGGCCAATACCAACCGAATATTTTTTATGCGCGCCGACACTTCATTTGTGATGCGTTTGCTAGGTGAGATATAGGTGCCCAGATAGCAAAATTTGTCTATTTCCTCTACTACTTCCCCAGTCAGGGTGAAACTGAGTACTGGACCAACCCAATCTTGGAGCAACACTTTACACTTTGAAGGTGCAAAACGCATACTGAACATGACTACACTAGTACTCAAAATATCCAGCAAAACTGGTAACTTATCTGAATCTTCACTCAGTGACACAATGCCGTCTGCATACGCTAGATCAGACAGTTTGCCACCTGGAGGTAAATCGATACCGCTATCATCGCACGATAAGGCTGTTGCGAGAAATAAATCCATCAAGAAGTTAAAAAGAAACGGAGAGAGAGGACAACCCTGTCGAACACCACTTTCTGTGGGGAACTCGGGTGAAAAATGCCGTAAGATCGGATTCGGCTCCGGCTATTAGTGTAGAGCGATTGCAATAATGAAATAAACTTCTGGGGCACACCCCAGAACGAGGTAGCGCCAGAGTTTAGAGCGGTCGACTGAGCCGAAAGTCGCTTTCAGATCGAGGAAGATGGAAATGGTGGGCCTACGAAAGGATTGTCTGTGTTACAGAGGACAACAAGCGAATACGATCGTGGATAGAGAGAGAACACGTGAGCAGGAATGACACGCTTTACTCGTCTATTAATATCAATACATGGGCTGAAAAATAAAAAGAACGACGTGATTAACAGTGTACAGAAACAGAACGAATAACGAACACGACAATCTGTGTTCTGGAATTTGATGAAGAGTGAAGATGTGGTCGATACAACCTCGACCAGGTCTGAAACCAGCCTGGTTCTCACGCGTAAACCGT